ATGGGGAGCTGCGACGTACTGGATTCCCAGGTTATTCATGTCATCGACTGCTTCCGACTGCTGCTATCCAAAAGTGCTCAGGGCATCGACGAACGAGGAGCAAAAACGGGTGCTCGCAAAGCGGAAGCTTCGCGGACGGGGTGCCATGCTTGTCCACTGGAATACGAGGCGAAAACTTCGGCTTTCGAGTCCGTGCATGCAACTGTTCAAAATGAAAGACGTCGGACGATCTGCCGTAGTGCATCACAAAGCACAATAAGTTGTAAATCGTGCCCCCCTCAATTTCCATCACCTTCGACAGACTCTCGCATTCTCCGACCTACTCGCCCAAAAGACGCTGTTTTGTCACAGGACCGGGTCCTTTCGATGATGTCAGCAGCGCTGGAACAAGGATTTCGTAAGGAGAGAGGATATCGGACTTCACCACTGCGAGCTCAACCCATTCTGGCCCACACTGGCGGAGTAACGGTCAAGTCTCTTGTCTCAATACAATCTCATCATGCGAAGATCGAGTAAGCAAAGTGTCTTGCCATGACCTCGTCTGCTTACTTCCTTACCACAGGACGGGCTCCACGCCGCCAATCCTCCGGTAGTCATGCGTCGTTGGCTGAGTTATCGAGTGATGCGGACCCACAATCTCCCACCCCCACTGTAGCCTCCTATCCTACCCGGAAACCAGCAGTGCGTCGAGTCTACCACCCCGATGCACCGATAAATCGGTCTGAATGGGCGATGTGGGTCGGAAACATCCCCAAATCTGCCGATGAAACCGATATTCGCAATTTTTTTACTCAAGTCGACGATCATGGCGTTCTGTCGATCGTCCTGCTCTCCAAATCCAGCTGCGCATTCGTGAATCTTGCGAGCGAGGCCCATTTGCATGCTGCGATCGAGTATGGAAACGGACAGTATCTGCGCCCAGAGTGGTCCTGGGGCTCCTCGCTCGTGTGCCGCATTCGCAGTCTCGACGATGATCTCTGGACTGGAGTCGGTGGGCAACGAGGGATGGGATTACATCGGCAGTGGGTCAAGGACCGTTCGGTACCCGGCGTGGACTCGGAGTCGATGGAAATTTTCGAAGAAGACTTGAGCGGTGCAGCTTCTGACACGTCGACGACATCTAGCTTCTTCCAAATGCACTTTAAACGGCGTTTTTTCGTGCTCAAGTCGCAGACGAAAGAAGAACTCGATCGGTGTGCTGCCGATGGGGTGTGGTATATCCAAATGCACAACCAGGTGGTGCTCGATAAAGCCTTCCGCACCTCTGAGGAGGTCATCTTGTTTTTCAGCGAGAACAAAAGTGGTCGATTCTACGGCTATGCCCGGTTCGTGGGTCATCTGATTTGATACAACTCTGTTCATGAGTATGTCATCCACAGAATGAGCAGCCGAGTGCTCTCCACGGCTTTCCCCAAGGCTCCTCGAATGCTGCCGAACCCAGCCGCGTACGAAACATCACCAAGGCTTACAGACACAGCTCTATCGCCGTATCCTTCACCATTTGGCATCACTCAATCGGCACCGAATGTGTTGATGTCTTCCCCGTCGACCTTCGACCAGCGTTATCGGGCAGGAAACATGCACCGCCGAAGCATCAGTCTGGACCAATTGTCCCCACGCAGGATTGGGGACCCTGAAAGATCAACGCAGCCGATCAATCGACCGGAGCTGGGCAGTGCCCTGAGGCCTGAAAGTTCGACTCGAGGCCAGCAGCTGGGATCTGATCTCAGCGGGCAGTTTACCGTCGACTGGTTGTGCCTCGAGCCTCTGCCTTTCAAGAGGACGCGCAACATCTTCAATCCATGGAATCGGGGCCGCGAAATCAAGATCTCGCGAGATGGAACTGAACTCGAGCCAGGTGCTGGTTCGGCGCTCATTCATGCATGGCATGCGTCCAGGAGTCAGTGAGCGTCGTGCTGTTCTCTGTATTTGTTACTGTATACCTCCTCACATACATACTTTATCTATTGTACTTATGCGTTCACACTTTTCTGCACAGTCTATCATATCCGGCGATCCCTCTTCGCTGTGATATCATTTCATACTATACAGCATCCATGTCACAAGACACTCCTTATATTTCATATCATGTCACGGTACTTTCAGCCAGCGACGAGCAGCAGGAGAGATCAGTTGCAGAGTCAGGAGGTTCTCGCATGCAGTATATTCGACGGAGTAGATCGACGGTTTCGATTCTGAATCCGATTCGTCCACCCATCCAGATATGAGGTTCGAAAGCGACCATGTTCGTTCCGCCGTTAAATTTCAAAGAGAAACGGGCGATGTCGTTGTGAAAAATTGCGGTCTCCGAAATCCAGCTGTCTTCATAGACATGAGGCCACTTGAAATCCAGTCTGCTTGGATTTGAGCTTCCCTCCCGCGTACTCGTTTACCAGTGCATACATCGTCGGTTCCGATTTTCCCATAGACAAGCCTCATGATATGAATCACTCTCCACAAGTGCTCACTCGAATCCGTGCCAGAGATTTTCAGGTTGGTGTATTGAGGTGCTGGCCTTGCGTACTATAGAATGTTTATCAGTGAAATCACATGTCGTCGCGGAAAGTTCGCACGTGATCGCTGTGATATCCGTAGACGAAGAAAATTTCTGAGACTGCAGGGAGCAGTGAGCCCGGCAAGGCACGGCTCAACGGATCATGTTCGGATACGCTCTCTTGTCTTTATGGAGAATGAGACCTGAGGATGAAAATCAATGCCAACTATCATGTCACCTATCATCGATGTCTTTGCAACTTACAGAAACTTGTGCGGCAGAGCACAGCAAAGCACCAGATTGTACATTGCGAAGCTCGAGAGGACGCGAAGCGAGATGCGGAGTCGACGTCAGTCATGCGTCATCAGTAACAATGGCGGAAAGCGTAGCAAACGCCGTTCCCCAGCTGAGAAATGTGATTCCGTCCTGAGCGCTTGCCAGTCTACGATGTTGGCGGGCCTGTGTGTGTGAATTTTCGTCTTGAACGACGACATCCAGGAAACGTGCAACTCGGTCGTTTGAGAGTCTCATTTCCGTGTGCTTAGAGCTCTTCGAGAGCCCACCTGAACGCGAGTGGCATGGATGTGCGACCAGGATTTCGAGGGAAGCGCGCTGACACCCAGGAAAGTGACGGCACCGGTGACTGCTCAGTGGAGATCGATACGGGCAACGGAAAAGCAGGAGTTTTGCTTATGTAAATCAGCTCGGCGAACAAGTGCGGAGTAAACAGATCGTCTTGAAATCAGCACCGTAACCTCGATCCTCTATGACATCCAACGACAGCCGGCGGCCGCGCACGAAGATACACCACTTCCGCATGGTGAAACGAGCCGATATCGTCGGCACCTGCGGGCACAGACCACTTCCACGATGGACAATGCCACTGTTTCTGCACTGTCCAGCCGTCCCATGTCTGCAAGTTCCCGATGTCATCGTCGGGAAACAGGAGGGAGCATGCAGCTCTGTGGCGACCGCGAGAATAGACGCCGGGCGGGAGATAAGCACTTTCCATCGACCCGACTTCAGAGGATGAGCTCCACGCGACTGTCAGGCAATGATAATCATACATTCTGCGAGTCCAGAGCAGTCGCCGACACTCTTTATTTCGACAAGCCCACCCGAGCTCCACCCTCCGCCTCTCGCCTCAAGTTCATCGAGATCCACGAGCCAGTGGCGCTCAGTCGTCATCTTCGCAGTAGTCGCGACGGCTAGAAGATCCGGTCGCTCGTGGATGCCGGCCATGACCGTGGCTTCTGTGGTCAAAGCGGACGAGTGAACGAGCGTCAGGTCTCGCGATTGCTATCCGCGGTCGCTCCCCTTCTGGTTTGTCGTGCGTCCCAGAGCCTGAGTCTCGCATGGGCCAATAGCACAGTGATGCTCGTCGCTACCTTCAAACCGCGCAGTCCTCTCCTCGCCGCAGGACGAAGTGGCGACCGCCTGCGAGTCAAATTGCCACGTGAATCGTGCGCGTTTTTCGTTGAGCCTCTAAACCCAGTATCAAGTTTTCTAGCTTGATAAGAGTCAGCACCAGCCAGCGACGTGGTCGGCGAGCTCCTCCATCGGCTGTTGGTCACAGTGCCGGGTCGACGAGCGAAGAACTTGGATTGTGAAAGATCAACGAGGGTCGAAGCAGCGAATAAGGGCCTAAACTAGGCAATCATCCGCATGCTGACTCCTTATGAGCTCAGGTGCATCGATCTCATACTTTGGACACGCGGGGTATGGGAGCTGCTCCGCGGGACGATGTGCTCTTGTATCGCTCACAAACTAGCGGTAAAGTCGCGAGTGAGTTGTCTCTTGTCGCCCTTTGAAAGTTTCTTGTTTCGCCCTAACTCATGAATGAAAGGCTCCAAGTCGAATCGCCATGCTCACCGACCAGTCCCCTGCGTCGTAGACCATGGCCAAATGAATGACTCTGGACACGAATTAGCAGTGCGACAGGAGCCATAGAAGACTCACCCTCGAAGCATCCAGATCACCGGCCACAATGCCAGCCACAATATCGACGACGGTCGATCCCACGAGCAGACCTGAAGCACGAGCAGCCTGTGTCGTCGTCTACTTCCTTGGACGACACTCACGGCACAGATACCAGTCGAGTGGACTCTCCCCAACAAGTCGACTCGATCCGCAGCTGAGACCCACCCCCCACTTCCTTCGCAAACACCGTCTTCCAAATGGACCCGACGCGGATATGCTGTGGACGGGTGCCACATCCAATGCGTCCATCCAGGTACGGTTGCACCGCGAGTAGTGGCTGCAGACCAGGCGCACGGATGGGATGACGATGAAATCGGGCTGCCTCAGCATTGCATCCCGCATGAACACTTTGAGAACTGAGAGCAGAACGGAGTGAGGTGGCAAAAGACGGGTCGCGGAAGTTAGGCAGCTGGGCAAAACGTGCAGCCTAGGTTGGGGGATAACTTTCGCCCGTATCGTGTTCATACGTTTGATAGGGCTTCGCTCTCTTTGCGTCCATCGATTTCACGGTTACCGGGGGATGAACAATTGGACCGCGTGCGTCCTACTGGTATCATTCGCAAGTGACCAGGACACGGTTCGTTTCCTCTCCAGTCTCGTTTCCGCTTTCTCATCGATTTCGGACTGGTTCGCATAGAACGGTTGGTCGTGTTCTATTCAATATGTTAGCAAATTGATGCGGAGAAATAGAATGAGAGCTGTGACCGACAAGTGGCCTTGAACAACAGCCGTTGCTCGATCGAGAGCCATATCCAGCCATTACCGCTAGTTGACGGAGAATTCTGAATTTCCACTAATCATGTGGAACCAAGGCAAGTCCCGATGCTCGCCAATTCTCATTTTCGGCACTAACGCAGGCTTTAGTGGCTCCGGACCGGCCTGGCTCATACGGACGAGGAGGGCGATGGCGAATGCGATCAACAGCGTAAAGACCGCCGGATCTGCGACTAGACCAACTGCCTGCGCATGCAAACACACACGACAAAACGATTCCGCGAACGTTAAGAACGCCAAATGAGGGAATGGCGGATATTTGAATGTGCAGAAACTGGAGAGCTGTGTCGGAACACAGCTCGTTCCTTGCGGCGTTTTCTGCTGTGCTGAAAGCTGATATCGAGTTGACTCAGCCAACGACTCCGGCGAGAGATGGAAACTCGCTCACCATCAATCCTGGTCTGTACCACGCATGGGTGGCGGCTGCGTTCGAGCTCGGGTCGGGATTGACAGCTCACTTCCAGACTCTTCAAGAGCCCCTTCGTCGATCAATCATCGTTGCAAACCAGGGCGGGTGGACCGTTGATTGATCGTCGTTTGGGAGTGCAAAGCCTCTGCTTAGGGCTCGCCCCGTCCATCCCCGGCGACCAGGGAAGGTCATTGGAGCAGCTCGAGATCGTCTCGAGATTTGAGTGGAAGCATATCCCATCGCGGATGTCGGCACCCGTGATTCTGTCGAGCCTTGGGACCTTCGAATTCATTCTACCACCAGCTTTCCCAGTCTTCATCCGTCCTGTGGAGCACCCAGAACCCAAACTCATCCACGCTAGCGACGGTACCAGTGAACGACGCGGCTTCGATAGCAAAGGACTGGCGGATCCAATGCAGATTTGCGATCCCATCTGCAAATCACGCAACCACCGTCTCAACAGAAGGCGTCATGCAGCAAGGGAAGCGGTACACTCGGTTCTTCGTCATCGTTTAGAGGCGAGCAGTCTCGACCACCTGATCGAAATCAGCACTCGGTGCGGGCCCCGGCTCGATGCTATGCCCTCGTCGAACTCCTTCAGCCAAATGCTGCTGATTCTGCTATTGCTCTGGGTTCTTTCAAAGCCAACTGGGCCAAGTGGGAAAACCAAAAGTTCTCGTTTCGTCAAACAACGGCTAGCGGCAGACCCGGATGTTGATCGGGAGGGATGGTGGCTGCGAGACCGAAGCAACAGAAATCAGAGAGGGGCAGCTGAGGGCAAAGGTGTCTACGGAAGGTCTTTTGCCGTGCTACATGTCCCCTTCCGAGGCAGCGACATCTGTGGACCGGGTGTTGTGCCTTGATAAGTCAATAACCAGACTGCCGTGGGTCCGTGATCGCTCTCCTCCTCGGCATGCTTGATGCTTTTAACCAACCTCCGACAGTTATTCTTCACTGTTCAGTGCCACACGTGATGGAATAAGCGGAGAATTGCCCATTCGAACACCCCACGAGCTTGCGAGGATGAGGGTCGAGCCCTATTCGCGAAGAGAGGATCATGGTAGGGCAACACAAACCACAATAAGGCATGCATATGTACTCATTCCAGTTACAACACAAACACCCACCGCCTTCCTCCTTCTCCGTTTCTATCTACCTCTCTCGATCTGACCCCCAAAGATAACAAACGGCCGCGTTCTTTTGTATCATCACTCACAAGACCGTGTCTGCTTATGATGTCATAAGCGTCCCGTAACGGGGGCAAGCACTGGCCTTCCCCCAAACTCCCCACGGACACCACGAGCGAGCGATCGCTTCTACACGTCCTGCCGAGCGGGGGACTGCAATCTCAGTTCTAACATTCTAACATGCATGCAGGAGGTACATCATCCATCCTCCGGTTTCTCCAGCTGACATTCTCTCTCAAGGACATCTGCGACTCTATGCCGGTGGGGGTCCACCAGAGGCATCGCGGAGACAACCGTCGCATATCAATAATCGATCATCGTCGAACCCCTCAAGTCATGAACTTGGTTCGCACACGGTAGCATCGTTCCCCGTCCGGAAACCGGCAGCACGCCGGGTGTACCACCCCGATCCACCAGTTGACCGCTCCGACTGGGCAATGTGGGTCGGAAACGTGCCGAAGCACGCCGATGAAACCGATCTCCAGACGTTTTTCACGCAATCTGAAGACCACGGCGTCGTCTCGATATTTTTACTGTCCAAGTCCAGCTGTGCATTCGTGAACTTTGCGAGCGAGGCGCACTTGATCGCAGCGATCCAGCAATATGACGGCAGGCATCTCCGCCCTGAATGGTCGATGGGGCCCGCACTGGTCTGTCGGGTTCGCACTCTCAATGACGATCTTTGGACTGGAGTCGGTGGGCAGCGAGGAATGGGACTCCATCGGCAGTGGATCAAGGATCATGCAGGGCCTCCAAATCCAGCACTGGATGTCTCGGACAGCCATTCGCCGAGCTCAGCTTCAGACGGGTCAACAACTTCGAGCTTCTTCGAGACACACTTTCCGCGGCGCTTTTTCGTGCTCAAGTGTCAGACGAGGGAAGAACTAGATCGCTGTGCTATGGACGGCGTTTGGTACATCCAGAAGCACAATCAGGTCGTGCTTGACCAATCGTTCCGTACTTCCCAAGAGACGATCCTGTTCTTCAGCATGAACAAAAGCGGCCAGTTCTACGGTTATGCCAAGTGCGTCCTTTGCCTTCATTGAGCCCACAAGTTTACATGCGCGTCTAGAATGATCAGCCCGGTGACTTCCATTGGATCTGATCCCCTGCCACATGGCATGGATGCGGGCGATGCATCGCCGAACCTGGTTGTGCGAGTCGCATCGCCATATTCGTTCCAGTCAGGTGCCACCCAGTCGGCACCCAGTGTTCTGAGTTGCCGGGTCTCTGACTCTGGAGAATTCGATCACGCCGGAGCCCGCCAGCATCGATCCCTTAGCTTCAGCCGACTACCTTGGCTGACGTCGCAGCACTCTGGGCCTGATCCCCAGCTCGAGCCAGAACTGGTGGACAACGTTTCGGGGCCCAGTGAAGGGCAGCCGCGGCTGGCGTCTGGTTTTAGCGGCCAATTCAGCGTCGAATGGCTATGCCGCGAGCCTTTGCCCTTCAAACGGACGCGCGGCATCGTCAACGGGTGGAACCGGGGTCGTGAAGTCAAAATCTCGAGGGACGGAACCGAACTCGAGCCGAGTGCTGGATCGGCGTTGATAGCGGCCTGGCAATCGTGGCTGACCGAGCCTAATCGCCACCGCCAGCTGTAAATGTCTCTGATTTTTTGTTATCTGCCTCTTGCGTAGATCAGATGGATGAATCTTGCAAGGAGCTCGGGCTTAACTTACATTTCTCCCAATCTCTGGATGGTTGCGATACCCGTGTTCTATCCTTTGTACTACTTGCGTCTTTCAGTAGTTACAATCTCTGTATTCTCCTCTACATATCAGGTCTCTTGATTCATTATACCCAAGTACCGTGAGAACTGGACTGTCTTGCCCTGCCTTCCTCTACGAACACCTGAGCTCCATCCACTGTTCGCCACCATCGATGGTTCAGCCTGTTTGCGTGCGGACTGCTCCAATGAGATTGCGAGAATCGTGAAGTACATACATAGTAGCTGGGCATTGTACGGTCATAGCGGATGACTTAGTGTACATATCGGTGAGATGGTTACAGAAGGCTTATGACGTTTATCCATAGCGAAAGAGAGAGAAAGAGAGATAAGAGATCGGAATCAATGGCTCAGCTCGACATATATTGGAGCCCATGTTCAGGAGCACATTTTTTGTGGACAGATCAAGACCTGGCTCGTGGCGCTTGGATGAGCGTTGCGCGCTGGGCTTTCCAGATGTCCAGCACAGCCTGGCCCGCTTCAGGCTCGATCTCCATCCCATCGCGCGAGATCTTCACCTCCCGGTCCTGGTTCCACGGATTGTGGATATGTTTTGTGCGCGAGAAGCGCATCCGGTCGACACACATCCAGTGCAGAGGAAAGTCGAACTCGGGCTCTGCTTCGATCTCGTCGAGCAGGGCAGGGGGGAGGAAGGTTTCTGGGGGAGGGAGATCTTGGGAGGAAGGCGATTGTGCACCGAGTGCGGTGTGCGGAAAAGACTCGTGTCGTTGGCCAGGTACTCCACGAGGAGTTATGGGTCCCGTCATCCTTGGATTCGTCTCAGTAATCGCCAGCGACCTCATGTTCCGACATACCGCGCGTACCCGTAGAACTCTCCGCTCTTGTTGACACTGAAAAAGAGGAACACGTCTTCAGATGTGCGAAACGCACGATCGAGAACCTCTGCGTTATGTCGCTGGGCATTCCAGAGACCGGTATCGACGCTCGAGTCGAGATCATCCTATAAGAAGGTGAGGGGAGAAGACAACCGCAGCAACACTGATGCGGACCTGTTTGTACGACTTTAGCATGAAGAACCGCTGTGGGAAGTTCTCTTGAAGCAGACTTGACGTGGTCGACGCATTGGAGATGGTGTCCGAGTTGTCCTCGGTCGCGCTGGCCTGATTCCTCGCCCTCCTCTCCTTCACCCAAGTGGAATGCAGACCCACTCCCCGCTGCCCGCCGACTCCTGTGAAGAGGTCGTGCTCTTCCATGCGTGCACGGCAGATGAGCGGCTTTGTCGCATTACGCTTTCCCACGACCGCGGTTTGTTGGGGAAACGTCCGGAGTGACACCCCGTTGAAGCTAGCAATTGCGATCGTGAGTGCGCTTTCGGAGTTGTAGTTGACGAATGCGCAGTTGGAGCGAGGGAGCACGAAAATGGACTGGACGCCATGAGCGAGGGCCCCGGCACCGTCCCCCAGCGGCTGGGTAAAGAATCGATGAAGCTCGTCTTGGTCTGCGTCCTTTGGGACGTTGCCCACCCACATCGCCCACTGGGACCGCTGTGTTGGAGCTGCTGGGTGATATGATCGTCGGACAGGTTGCGAGGAGATCGGAGCGCGCGGAGGAAACGGTCGTTGCATAGCGGTACCGGCGTGTGTTAGTGGCGGAAGGGGCAGGTGTTCATTCGAGAAGCCAGAACGGTCGGTACTTTCATGAACACCCGGGTCAATCTCTCGAGGGACGAATTAGATTTCTCATATCAAGTCAATGACATAACGCACAGAGAAGGGTTCTCGAGCCCCGCACTTCAGATCCAATGGATCCAAGACTCTGGGAGCAGGAGTCGAAGTCGAAGTTGAGCGCTTAGCGCAGAACGGGTTACTTGATAATTACATCCGATGGCAATCTTCACGGCCGGATCAGGGCCGGATGCACGCCAAGCCTGCGGAGGAGGATTTGCCGATCTTGGAGCCAATTCAAGACACAACCTTCGCTGTAAGTAGATTTCTCGCGGAGAAGGAGAACAGAATGTAACATGCGCGCGCATATCTACGTCACAACTATAGTCGAAAAGCACGCGCAGTCATTGGACATCTCAGACGTCCCACACTCGGTCCTTCATGTCGACTTCACGAGCTTAGAGGTTCAAGAAAGCGACGCTTCGTGCTCTTGCTTGCTGGGTACCCAATGGAGAGGGTTAGTAGTTCGGTCTTAGAAGTAAGTGCATATCCGGTAGATAGGCTGAGAATCACGAGGTGAATGTGGATCGTATCGATAGCTTCGAAGAATCAAACGAAATGTCGGTATAAGTTTGTGAGCCAAGTGTACGTTATGTAACTTGTTATAAAAAGACAGATAGCACCAAACATAGTGGTGCACCTGGGAGAAAAGAAGATACAGTAAGATGGAGTACATTTACAAGTGTCCAGATACCAGCTCGCATATCTCTGTGCACCTGGAACCTGGGAAAACTACCAAAGGAAGCGAATCACAACACGGGAGTCGAGAACACAGTCGCATTTCCTATGTCTCTGGAGTCGGAGGGCAGGATCATACGTTCACGCCTGTCGGCGTCTCCTCTCATCCTGCACCAATCGCCATGCCTCCAGAAGCGCTAATCCAGCATTTGGGTCGAGCTCAGTGCCGTCCCTCGAAATCTTGACCTCGCGATCACGGTTCCATGTATTGACAATGTTGCGCGTCCGTTTGAAAGGCAGCGGCTCGAGGCAGATCCACTCGACGGTGATTTGAGCAGTGTAGCCAGACACCCCGTCACTCATGGGACTAGGCTCAGGGTGGTCATCCGGTTCTGGTTCCAATCTAGCTTCGAGGATGTCCTGGTGCCGCTGGAGGAGCCCGTCGAGGCTGATAGGCTGATGAACGCCTTTCCCAGCTTCGTACAACTCCTGCAAGTCGGGATGTCCGGCGGGAGTCATCACACTGGGTGCCGACTGAGTGATACCGGGCGGTGACGGACTCGGCGTAAACGGGCTGGGGGACTTTTCGGCAACCATTGTATCGGGTGGCAGGCCATCATGGATAGCATCATTCGTAGTCATCACTGAGGTCCTCATCCTCAACGTCGGAGAAAATGAGTAAGGATCGGGCGCATCAGGAAGATCGCGCACCTGGCATAGCCATAGAACTGGCCACTCTTGTTGACACTGAAGAACAAGATCGTCTCGTCAGATGTGCGAAACGCTCGGTCCAGAACAGCCCCATTGTGTGTCTGGATGAACCACACTCCATCTTCAACACACCGATCCAACTCTTCTCTTGTCTGCGACTTGAGGACAAAGAAGCGCCGTGGAAAGTGCTTTTCGAAGAAGCTCGACGTTGTCGAGGCGTCGGAAGCTGCGCTCGGCGAATCGGCGTCTCCGATGCCATCACGCGCTGCGATGCGGCTGTTGATCCACTGTCGGTGCAGGCCAACTCCTCGCTGCCCACCGACGCCAGTCCAAAGGTCGTCGTTGAGTGTCCGGACTCGGCAAACCAACGGCGGCCCCCGAGTCCAATCCGGGCCTAAATGCTTGCCATTGCACTGCTTGATTGCATCATTCAAGTGTGCCTCGCTCGCGAAGTTGACGAAGGCGCAGCTCGATTTCGAGATCAAAAACACGGATAGCACACCGTGGTCGGGATTTTGTGCGGCGATGAACGTCTGCAGATCATGCTCGTCGGCGTGCTTGGGGACGTTGCCCATCCACATCGCCCATTGGGACCGATCCGCGGGCGCAGCAGGATGGTACACACGCCGTTCGCTGGGCCTGTGGCTCTCGTACTGGTTCCTGTTGGAAGAAGGGGTAGATCCGCTTGGTTGACTGCTTGCGTAGGAAATTAATTGGACGGCTGAAACAACACGGGTGAGGCAGGAACACGAACTGCAAGAGGCTGGCAACACATACCAGTCGGTCGTCCTCGCGTCTCAATCATGTCAGGTTGTGATCTGAAATAGAAAGACCGTGCTGAGTTTGAGGTCGTCCTCTCGCCTTAGGTCGTCGAGAAGAACACAAGGTCGAATATTACGAAGCCCCGCAAGCTTCTCACATCGTGACATCATGGAGAAACCGCTTTGCTAGGTGATGATGAAGCAAAACATGCTCATCCGGAAAAAGGGCGTGGAAGATTGGTGAAAAGGATGTATCCGTTGCTTCCTTTGGTTCATGCACGGTCCGGATCGTCGACAGAATACAAAGTAGCGGAGTTATTTTGGTTTGTGTTGCCGCTCGATGATCCCTTTGGGCGAGTCAGTGTTCCTTGCACTGCCGGCTCAGGTCACAGCAAACTCTCACCGACTCGTAGGCCCACACTATCGGGCTTGCCCGGTGTGTAGAGCCACCGGCTACACACGCATCGCCCCACGTTCTCTCCCATGTTTCTGGTCCCGGTAGTCCGATCCGGGATTGCGATCGTGCGCCTGGGCCGAGGGCCAGTCCGGAGGATGTCGGGTAATGTGGAATTTCAGGGCGTAGGCAATGCATGGTCTCTGCGATGCTCATGAATGACTGCGGCAGAGTTGTTTCGCCAGGGCTTCGTCTCACTGCACGAAAAGAAAGTTTACGCGCAGTGCAGCTTTGTCGTCGAATTACTCCTCGATTTCAGACGTGGCGTCACCCATAAACCTGTGGCACAACATATTTCTGGCCATCACAGACATGTAGAGCTCTTTCAGTATGTCATTTATTTGGCTGAATTCGTGATTAGACCTCGAGTGGGAACACGGGATACAGGCAGACACTCGCCATTCGGTCTTCAGTATGTGGCCATTCTCACGGTCAATCGTACGTCCCATTGAGCTCTGCTCGAATATCTCCCGAAACAGTTCCCACTCGTGCAAGATGAGACCGGGTGTTGGGGCCTCCACGTTTCGGTCAGCGGTGAACGGAAAAATCGTCTGAGCGCTGGATGACTCAGATTGCATGGCTGAGATGGGGTACAACTGGAGGCAAGATGGGCCACAGGCGAGGGTCGAGTATCGCTATTGACGAATTGAAAGGACCATCGCGGACACGATTGTGCTGAACTTGGCTCGTATATCTGGGGAGGCAACGACACCAACTGATTTGTGCGCATACGAAAGGGAGGCGTGAGGACTCGACCGGAATATGGCGAGAGCTTGGAGGGAGCCGAAAGTCTGACGGGAACAGGAGCGCAGGCGAGCGACCTGAAGCGGTGGTGGATTGGCTGAACGAGAACTGATCTCCAGAAACTCATGGACCACAGGCTGCAGTCCGTTATATACAGCGCCTTGTCGACGGACGACCATCTGCACCCCTTCTCTTCGCGGAACACCTTCGGAGGGTGAGCGTTCGCTATGCACGATGCCGTGGTGAAAGGACAACATTAGGACAATGCACTGGCATAATGAAGAACAAATCGAAGGGGCTCGCACTTGAGGACATAGCACATCGACTGTTTTCGTTTTGTGTCTGGAAGCGTGCGCTTCATCGAGTTGGGCGTTTTGCTGTGAGCCGATGATACTGAAAGGATGCTATCGGAGCTCAAACAGAAACCAACTCGAAGAAAGCACACACTTGGTGGTTACCATCCTATGACTAGAGCACTCCTCCACACGGCCTCTCCTCCACAACCCTCCCTTGTTCCGACGACGCTTTAACTTTAGAGGGCTGCAAGATACGATGATACTACGAGGGGATCGCCGGTGGATTGAAAACGTGGCTCCCTTGTTGATGTCCTCGATCACCATTGGAGTCCACACATTCCCCAAGAGCGTGGCCGGAAATCACCGGCTTCCAACCCAAACATATCAGCCCTCGTATGCACGCGCTGCTGTGACGGCGTTTGCCGTACTCAGAGTTCCTTTTCGTCGAGTTCCCTTCACCCCTGGAGTGGAATTTGAACCGCCACGACCCACACTCCTTTGAGCATGGCCGCGAGGATCCACGTTAATAGCGACGAATGGGGTGGACGAGCCGCTCTCAAGAGGGCTACCAACAAGTCGGAGAACTTGGTCGAGTGCGGCTTCTGTGATCCCCTCGCAATGTCACCATATAGTGGACTATATAGGCCAGTTACGTGAACGACCCCATAACCAATCCGAGGATGCGAGCGATTTCCCTGAGGAGTAGACGTCTCCGGTAGGTGGTGGCTTTGATTTGTTCTCGATACGATTTGCTGATGACTACTTAGCCGGAGAAAGACATGTCAACTGATTTGTGAATGAGTAGCAAACCGAGTTTGAAGCTCACGACGTACCGCATACACAACTTCACCTGCAGAGGAGAACACCAAGTTGGGCTTCATTGGAGGAACCATCCCATCCGTAAGGACAGTCGCTGGCACAGAGGAGGAGGAATAGACCGCCCACCCGATGTAGTAGGCCAAACGGAAACATTCCCAATGCGGCCGACCGCATAGGCAGTCACCGATTCCGTCCTCTCTTGTCATCCTTCACCGAAGACTCCATTGCGCACTCCGACCTCGGCTCAAGCTTCCTGACGACGTTCTTGTTTGAAGCGACTCTGCAGTCGTGATGATCGTATGCATATGAGCATTGAAGACGGCTACGCTGGGGATTCCGACTGTCACTGGAAGTTTGAAGCCGAACGAACCTCGCGTGGATTGTGCTAAATCCTGCATCGCGATGTTCCGAATCGAATCTGAGACGTACGCTGGCGCTGTTTCGGGATGTCCAATCCAGGGCATTCCTTGGGTGTGATCGCGCGGGTTGTCGTTTGGGATGCGAATGGACGGAGTCCGGCGGACCATAGAGGAATTGACATGACGGTGGAGCTTAGAGAATTCTCGGGACCGATTCATCTCGAGGAACTACCTGTCAATTTGGGTTCGTGGTGCGTCAGATTTCGCGCAGAGAACATGTTCAAGCTGACTGACTTTGTTTTGGCGTTCACTTGGCCACCCTTAATACAGTGTCCATCTTGTGCTGTCCTCGTCTCTGTCGACCTGTGGTCAGTGCCACTTCGCTCCGCGCGTGTAGGAAAGCACGGACTTGGGCTCCTGTGCACTGATGTTGGTAAGATCGTAGCAAGCTTTGCGACCTGAAGATGATGCTGCATCTCGAAGGGATCGAGGGTGAACACTGTCTGGGAGGGGCTGGCCTGATGGGATGGAGTTGTTTCGTTAAGAGCCGACACTTCAATTTGTTTGCGATAAACACCGATCCGCGTCTCCTTACATAAAACACAGGCTCCCTTCACACAACACACCAGGCTCGTATCCTCTCACCGAATATTTATCTCCTCGTTCAGGGCAATCATGGATTCTCACTTGACCCAATCGAGTCGACTTCTTGACTGGATACCTGCTGCGGCTATCCTATTTGAATTCGTGCATGAGGGGACGAGATGTTCATCGTTTGTGTCTTTTTGTAGTGCACGATTCCAAGCACTATAAGAGGCGGATGGGCCTTTCGATGTGCAAATCAAGGTTTAGCGGTCGAATCGGGGGAACGTGTCGAGCAGACGGGCGGACTTGTGTCGCTTCCCCTGGACACGGGCATTATTTTCCCGCGGCCCATGGCACAAACACAAATCCTCGACGCTGGATTCAAGTCCTTGCTTGCGGTGTGTATCACAGTGTTTCTCATTGCTCTGACGTCGCCTAAGACTCCCAGCCACGCTCAGACACGACTCAGATCGCCGACTTTTCCTGCGGCCCCTGGAAAGGGTGACCAGAAGATGACGTCAATTCTGTGCAGCCATCTTATCTCTGACCTCCGCGTCATTCCAAGCGGAGGGTCCGCTCGTGATCCAGGAAGGACTTACTCGAATCCTGATCAGATCGGACTTGTGACTCTATGCTCGCAAGTTGGCAACCATTGGCAAGCACAAACGGAGGGTACTGAATGGTAGGGGATTCATACATCGCGCCATTATCACAAAGGTTCCGAGTCTACTTATTCTCTCGAACATGCAAAGCAATATTGCCGGTCAGACGCTGTCCGATTTGTAACAACCAATGCACATCCCACTTCGAAAAACTATGGGAGGTTTGTCATTCAACTCATCTAGCATAAGAAGCCACCGCGAAACATGGACTTGCTCTACCATTATCAAATATCTATCCGATTGTTCCAATCCAGCGAACAAACTCGCAGCAGGTATTCCCGGTATTGAGCTACTTTCACAGAAATAGCAGGTCAAACGGATCGAATGCTCACAATCAATTGTTCAAAAACACGAAATAAGCAGCGAGGTCAATATTGTCACGGTGGAAGCACCTGGGTGGCGCTTAGTAACATACTCCAGGAGCGTATGTTGTAAGGTCGCTACCTGCTGGCTGAATTCCACTAATTACTCGAGTGCGCATGAATTGGAATTGTCTCCACGGTGTCACCATGTAGCGCGAATCTAGGAGAGTCATGGAACAAAACCGTGCTTCCATAGCGTATTAATTCAACATGGCGGATGCATTCTAATCGCAGTCTGGAACCTCCTCACCCCTATCGAGCCCCCTGTAAGCATCAAGAGCCTTGTCGTGCTAGGGTCTAGTAATGGGAGAGGCAGGGATTGGCGCCTACAATCAACTTCCATCACGGACATCAACGGTCTGTCATAACACTAAATCTTACGTGTCAGGGAAGAGGGAAGCGCTTAAGATTACTTGCACCATGTCTCTACAGAAGGTGCGATTCAGTATATTTTTCGAGGTCTATTGTTCACAGATAGTTCAAGCTCATCTATGGCCGCCAGTATTCTTTGGACGATCGTTCTGAACGGGGCGGCACCAGAACCGAACGCGCAGGGACTGGTTACTGAAGGAGGGTTATTCACAAGGACCCATCTCAGGGTCCAGGACCTAGGAGGTTCAATCGAAACTCTGGATTGTATCCGGACACCCTATCCTTGACTGTGTGAGGTCGGCAATGCCGTGGTTCGATCGGCGCAGTGAGACATATGGGCGGGATATAAGGCGGGAAGGGCGATGAGACCAGCACCTCCTCGCATCTTGCTTCCAACCACCACAACACAACTTCATATCTTATGCAACGAGCTCTATTGCCTGCCCTATCCAAACGCACCTCATTTGAAACTCATCCATCATGACATCCACCCACTCATCCCACCCTGCCCCGCTCCCATACACCCGACTCCCTGACTTGACAGGGTCCACTGTCGAGAACGGCAAGCTCAAGCTCGTCGAGCTTCTCGGCCACGGCTCATTTGCCAAGGTCTACAAGGCTCTGGACACCCAATCGACTGCATCATCCGTGGCACCCATCCACTACGCCGTCAAGTGCCTCTTGAACGGCGAGCCCGGATCGCAGGAGCACCACAACCTCCAGAACGAGCTCAAGAACCACACACAGGTCTCTGGCCTGCCCGGCGTCGTGGCCTTGCACCGCGCCTTCGTCGAGGGCGAGCACGTCTTTGTCGTGATGGAGCTCTGCGACACGGACCTGAACCGCTTCGTCATCGAGCACAAGGACTGTGACGAGCAGTGCGACGTTGCGAAGCGGGTGTTCTTGGACGTGCTTGATGCCGTCGAGACATGCCACGCTGAGGGTGTGTTCCACCGGGACCTGAAGCCCGGGAACATCCTGTGTGACGCCGACGGCAAGAACATCCGAATCGCCGATTTTGGTGTTGCGACTCGGTCTGAAGAGTCGAAACAGTTCGGCGTAGGGACTGCTGTGTTTGCGAGTCCTGGTGTGTTTGAGACTTCCCACTCATTCGAAGCCCCTGACTCACCCGTGTCGCAGAAAACATGGACAAGACTCGAGACACATACTCCCCTCGCGGGACGGACTGCTGGTCTCTGGGTGTGATCCTCATCGCCCTCATGACGAGCAGCCTTCTTTGGAAGGCACCCGTCGAGTCCGACGACACGTACTGCGCGTACCGCGCGGACCCCGCGCACTTCTTGCGGGGGACGCTCGACCTGAGTCCTTCATTCAGCTCGCTCGCGAACCGGATCTTCGATCCCAATCCGGCGCGCCGGCCGAGCATTCCAGAGCTGCGCACGGAGGTCGAGGCGATGGACACGTTCGTCGTGCCTCCGCCCGTAGATATAGTTGCTCTGGCTCTGCAGAACCCACTGCACAAGCCGCAGAAGAGCAAGTGCCGGGCGACGCCGCCTCCGGTGGATAGCAGTGGGACCACGCCTCTGCGCTTGCTGTGCATCGCGTCGTTGACGAAAAAGCTGAGGAGGCTCGTGCGTCGTCGGTCAATGTCGTAGTCGAATTCACAGCTGTCTGTCTCGTAGAAATTCGGAATCCTAATCACATCACATTCCATACTGTCCTGCCGATGTCCTGATGTCTGACCTAAGATCCACCATCTGTCTCACATTGCCGTCTCTCCTGACCCACCCACGGCATGGATGCACATGAAATCGCCCTGTGCCCTCACGTGCCTGCAGAGGGTGCATTCATCGTTCTTTATCGTGTGATCACCTGAGGCTTCAGTTCCCGTTCATAAATCTTAATCATCCTAAGAGATCATTGGCACATGAAGATTCTGAGTACGGCATCTTAGTTTCGAGTTTCAAGTTCTGCAGAGCAAATTTGTGGGTTAGGAGCGGCCACAATATGATCTTGCTGTTGGGACTCTCAAGCACCGAGCGCCGTCGCCGGGAATGACAGTTCTCGAAACAGGCCGAAACCATGTCCTTCAGGCGGATGAGAATCCCGCTGTGGTTGATCCGCTTACCTCGAGTCTGTCAGCCTGATACAGGAGAGTAGGCGTGGACCGATTTCTATGATATTGGCCCGGATTATGTAGCATTAGTCGTAGAAGCCCAACCAAGCAAGGTAACACGTGATCGTGAAGAGCTGAGACACTAACTTGCTCCAACTCTTACTTGACAATTCCATTGTTATTCCAACTAACTAACAGAACAGCGAATTTCCATCCAGGAATGGATGCCCGAGTATGGATACCCGCTGTTGTAAGCAAATGCAGCTCCGCTGTTCGTACAGAGGCAATCTTATTTCCCTTCAAACTCGGGTCTGACTGACGGCGATATAAGGGTCGACACACTCCTGCCCTTTCCAGCAGCCACGCGCTCCTCAACCCCCTTCTAGACTCGTGTTGTCTCCACAATTCCTCCCGCAGTCGTTCTGAACCTACTTGCCACAGCGCGTGCGCGCGCGCTCTTGATGCCGATGGCTCTCCCTGCCGCCGCGGCGAGTCAAAACTGCATCAGGGTTGCACGACGTTCCGATCCTCGCGCTCGAATACGACGAACACGATGCGGCTCATTCTAGGAATGAGCAAGACGGTGGAAAGACGGGCTGCGCACACGCTCGATCGCCATGACACACAAAAGAGCGAACGACTAAATGCCATGGGGGAAAACACTGCGACAGTCAGCTTGATCAGCCACCGCTCATCTAGATTCTCCCTTGGAGTCAAATCGTGCAGCTCCGACGATCTCGCCCGACAAGATGCCGACTTGCATCGTACGTCGTCGGCCTTTTCTTTGTCGCCACTCCAGGTACATGCTCACTTGCGAGCATCTCCAACCGTGTTCTCGAAGTCCTGGAATGGGCGTGGATGCGCGATGTCGAGCGGGGACGCACAGGCCGATGCGTCACTCGAGGCTGGGCCCCCAGGCAAGGCGTTTCATCTCCACCTAGTGAGACTCTAAGGCCGTCCCTTCGCCCAGGTGGACGGCTGAAGCTCGACGAATGACGTCACTCCATTCTACCTCTTCCTAATCGCGAGCGCGGCATTCATGAAACAGGCTCTAAGCAAAGATGGGGTGCTGAGATTGCCCGAGCTGCGCCCGGTTTCTGGAGTCGTGTGCGTCACTTGCGCGTTCATCGACTCCCTCGGCGGAGTCATGAGCTTACTTAGTGCCACTGCCCATGCTACTACTGCTGCTGGAATGCCTATAAAGCGACGTCCATGCGCAGGTCGAACTCAACAACACCCTTCTTCACACCATGCAGTCTAACTACAAGAACGAAAACGAGCAAACATTCAGCATCCAGGACCGCGGAGTTGAGGGCGTCCAGAATGACGCTGGCTGTGGAAGCGACAACAAGGTGGAGGCGAAAGGTGGGTCGTCGGTCGTCGTGTCGGGTCCGTGTAACTGATGTCCGGACTACAGAACAAGCGCGCTGGGACCGTGACACAAACAATGACGAGACCGACCCATCTTCCGGACAGGCTGGCAATAACGCCGACGTTCCTCGCACTGACGGAACCGACGTAAACGAGACGCACGCCGATCTTCATGATGATGACGAGAAAAACCAGCGCTCGTCTGGAGCGACGGATTCATACGAGACATCCGGAACCGAACGCGATGCGCTTAGCGCTGGATCGGATGCCGATCAGCGTCAAGGCGACTTGACCAACGGCAGCTATGACCAGCGGGAAGAGACGGCCCGCGACGCGAGCCGCGATAACGCGTCCCAGATCATTGCTGGCGGACCTGGCCTGCAAGAAACGAATGTAGCGGAACAGCGCGACCGGGACGGAGCGCAAGACCAGGCTTGCGCTACGGGTGGACAGACGGACGCCAACAACGCGGACGAAGATGCGATTACTCGGACCACCAACGTCCAAGACAGAGAAGACCTAGCCCCTACTGGTACCGAATCGGCCATCGGCGCTCAGCACGCTGATGTGAACCCTCCTTCCACGGATGCCGATAACGAGCGCCCCACGACAGAATCCGGCTCTGACGGGCTCGACTCTGCCAACGGGACTCACGCCAAGAAGGCCGGTCTCAGCGACAAGATCGTCGGTGAGTCGCATTGTCTGCCTGCATGCGGGCTCTTTGTGGATGCTCAATGGCACAACGTAACAGGAGGCGCCGAGAAGATTGCAGGCCGGGTCACCAAGAATCCTGATTTGCGAGAACGTGGCGAGGATCGCAAGGTATGTCAGACTTGTCCCTGGACTGTATCAGTCATCTGACGCGCATCGCTCCAGGCTGGGATCCAGACAGTTGTCGAGTAGTGGCATTTCATTGGAGCCTAGTGGTTGTGTAACATGATGATCTATCCTCCGTTTTCAGTTCCCAGAATCAGAGCCTTTATGTGGGGGTCAGCAACTTGCGGACCGGTTGTGGTGATGTCTCGAAATTACACGCTCACGGCCTGCATATTTCGTATTGGTCACTGGTCCTGACGAGCGAGCTTCTAAGCAGGGTTGATTGCTCAATATCGCGAGTCTAGAGGCTTTGCCAGCAACTCGCAA